AATTAGACTTGCTACAGAATTAATACCCCTTATATTTTGGAACTGAAGGAATACTTAGTTTGGCGGGTGGTGGAGATTACATTTTTTAAAATCAAACCTTTTAAGTTCAATAAAATTTGAAGAGAAATATATAAAAATCCAAAATATCAAGTCAGTATTTTCAAATTCATCGTGGAATGAATTTTTCATACTTTTTTGTTTAGTATTGTGGATGTTGATATTTTTGCTCTTGACTCGGTCGAAGTAGAAGAAATTTGACTTTGTACAAAACTAATACTCCCTCCACTCCCTTATACAAGGCCACATCATATTTTTATGTCTAACTTTGGCCATTTATTTTACTAGGAAACATGCCCATACATTGCAACGGGAGAAAAAAAATACATGCAAATACCTAACGAGAGCAAACGAGAGGGGAGACAAGGGAAAGGCAAGAGGAGATCATGGCGGTGTCAATGGCGCCCTAGGCGAAGACATGGGAGCTCGGGGCGGCGCGGATCGAACGGCAATGTCGCGGTGGCCCAAGGTTGAGGAAGACGGCAGCGACATCGATGCGGGGGTGCTGACTTGATCTCGTTGGTGCAGATGAAGTAGCGAAGGCATTCAGAGCTCCTTGACAAGCTCCTAGCCCGCAGGGAGGGCAGTGGCCATGTGGACGGGGTCGGTCATGGTGGCCGTGGCGTCTGACTTCCTCCAGATCGACGGGATCGAGCGAGCGAGGAGGAGAAGTGGATTTGGGAGGGAGCGTCAAGGAGGAGTGAGTCCATGGGGTAGGGAAGGCAGGGCGTCACCCTTATCCATTCCCCTTCGATGCCAGCGAGGTGGTCGGGCGGGAGCCCGTCTCTGTAGCGACGCGGCTCGGGGAACAGGAGAAGACGACCGCGCGGGGACTGGACCGCTGAGCCGGTTCGGTGGCAAGGCCCAGGGGGCAGGGCGAATCCCCTTTTACATCGTCCTTTTGGTTTTTCAATGTATTCTAATCTGTTTCTCCTTTTTAACACCGTTTTCTATTTATTCTTATCAACTAAATGATCTCTACTCCTAATGTATCAGTTGGTAGTCTCCGTTTCGGGTTTATTTTCGTCCCACCTCCCGAGTGAGGGAGAGGGTGAGAGAGAGTGAGGAAGAGGGAGGGAGAGGGTGTGTGTGTGTGTGTGAGAATTTGATGGTAAAAAAGATCGTCCATGTCACTTAATATGTATGAGAATATTCAATGTAATATTAACATAATTGATAGTGAACTTTTAAAGTTAATGTGGCCCCGTTGCAACGCACGGGCGTTCTTCTAGTTCTATTTGGACATGGCATCCCATTCGTGTCATTGCTTATCCACCTTCCGCCCCTCGCCAATGATGGTTGTAGTGTTTACCTAATCACAACGCATCCGAACATGGTCAATCTCAAAGCGGTGAACTCGACCACCGCATCACACACATGCCATTGCAGCGCGCTAGCATAATGAAATGTTTAAAACTTAATGAACAATCTCGTCGAGCAGGACGTGAGACCCGCAGCCCGCTATCCCTGCGTACTTGGACGCGGCGTCAACTTTGCGAGTGGGATGCTGTAACACCCTCCGCCTAATATGCTAATAGACCATAAAAAATTATATGTACATAATTCTATCAACGATGCATCTCGTGAGTGAAATATACCATTAGTTCCATCTGCCCATAACACAAAATAATATTTGAGAACAATGATCATACACCCGGATTACATTCAGCTTGGAAAAGCTCTCTGAACACCTTATCTACTGGCCCAATCGGCAAGACAGTGAGCAAACTTGCTTTGGTCCCTACAGACCCAATTAATCTGGTGGGATTTGAAGTGCTTCAAAGCCTCCTTGATGTCACAAGTAACAGAGAACAGCCTGGACTTGTTAACCGTTTGAGGTTCAAGTGCCTGCACCAGCGACAAGCAGTCCAACTCCACAATGATATCACCATTAAACAACTTTGCCAGTTCCTTCAGCCCAACCAGTAGCGTTGTCGTGTTGTTGCCCACAATACAAATTTTGATCATAGATCAGAATATACAACAAATAATATTGGACAGTTGCTCTTAATATCAGCTATAACATACATTTCGATACATGGACATTCGGTCATATGTTGCCATTGTAACTGAAGCTCGCATTGATAGTACTCCTATGCCAGCAATATGAAAACACCACTCTACGTCGAGTACACTGCACATCAGTACCATTGTGCAGAAATCAGTTTATCAAAGTAACCTGAAGTTATGACAGTCAATACTTGATGGTCGACTGCATAGCTGAAAAGGCTGAATGTCTCGTCCACCACCGGCCACCGCCGTGCCTTGCTGAACATAGACAATTCTCACATCAGTAAATCCAATATCTCATCAATTCCCAAAACCATACAAATCAACAATTTGCTAGAATGAGCCGGCACTGAGACGATTAAAGCTAATTGATAATGTAGTGGTACCAGAATTAAACGAATAGGCACCACAATTTCCATCTTGTCTTGGTTGGGAGGTTGGTGAGAGTGGCATTTCGTAAGTTCCAATTTAGTAGTCTGCTACTGTTCTGAATTTTTGACAAGTGCAGTTGGAGTTGAACGATTTGGAAGTACTTGTATCCTAACGGGACTGAATAACCAAAGTGTTGTATTATTATTCAATTTTAGAGACGAAGGTTGCAGCCAATTGCCAGCTGATTCTGAACATCTAACAGATGAGGCGTCAAATTCAGGCTGCTTGATCAAGCTGACGATAAGTTTAAAATTATTCAGTACATAGATTTTGAGCAGTTAAAATGAACTTTCCTACAATTTGAAGCTCCCTATGACTGTGCTTATATCAAACATACTTAGCACATGGTTGCATGTGACATCTTATTCTGCATTATTTGTTACATGTGTGCTCGCAGTTGCATCGTGCTTTCATTAGCTAGTTCTTCTTTTCTCCTCTTTGTCCATCTGTTCATTTGGTGTATCTACCAAACAGAGGTGCATCACAGATCGTCATACTACCCATGGAGAGCATGTTCAGAGATCTATTTTGAGAGGGGAGGCCTGCTGGGAGTGTGCCTGAAACTGAAAACACTTAAAATATGGCCTGTCATCAGAAACTGCCATGGAGGCCCTCGTCGTCTCCTCCTCCAGCTGCTACCCCGACCAGAGAGCCTCCTATTCTTGGCAGGGCCACCCTCCTTTCGTTGCTGGACTGCGACCCCGACCTCAGCTTGCTGCTACCCGATGTCTAGACCGGGGCAGAGGAGGTTGATGCGGAGCACCAGTTGTCAGTCAAAGTTGGGGCAGAGCCGATCGAAACGGAGGACGGAGGCGGCTGAGGGAGGGTCGGCGTACAGCCCAGCACCGCCGCCTGGCTCTGGCGTCATCTTCCTCACGGTGGGAGGGGGCGGCGGGTGACCTGCCCATCTCGTCTAGCCGACGTCAAGGGGACATATGGAAGGTGAGGCAGCATCGTCCTGGCGGTGCGAGGTGGAGGAGGGGGAGGAAGAGAGAGCTTGAGAGGCCACTGACCTGTCCCGCCATCGAGATGAAAGGGGATCAAGGGAGAGGCGCGTCCGCAGCCATCCGGCACGGATCCCCTCCTGGTGGCTCGTCTGCCTAGGTCACGATGCATGCGTGCCTCCATCCCTCCGCAACGACTTCAATTCCGATCTAAGGGCGAGGTGAGGAGTAGCAGCAACAGCGTGGCGTCTTCGTGCGTGCCGAGGACAAAGGAATCGTGTGCGTGATGTTTCCATTTGCTCGTGTATAATAAAAAATTTCTATCAGGACAGGAGGAGACGTGTCCATGCTCTCCTCGGTCTATTTTCTTTTTCTATCTGGACTGAAGGACATAAGAGGACAGAAAGATCGCTCAATTAATCTCAGCCGTCAATCTTTATAATTAATATAATATCAACGGATATAAAAATATGACGTATAAAGAACTATGAAAGTTTTCTCCCTTTAATATTAGGTAAAGATAAAGATAAACAAAAAGTGAGTTGTATGCCAAAAAAATTAATTGGATGCACATTTCAAAGAATTTTCCGATAATATATTTTTATCACATATAATCCATATTTTGTTGACCAAAATTATAAGTCAAAGTTTGACAAAAAAACAAAGTGGCCTCGTATAAGGGAATGGAGGGAGTACCCCTTATATTTTGGAACTGATGGAGTATTTAGTTTGGCGGGTGGTGAAGATTATGGAGTGTGTTTTATTTTTATTGTAATATGGTGATTTGGTGGATCTTTCATGGTGTGATTCTAAGTTATCCGTTAACCAACCTATATCTATGTGAGGAAATTTCGGTGTCGGTGGTCGCATGTTTGGTGCTAGAATATGACATGGTGACACTTCTTTTTTTCCAGGTGATGTAAAGGTGCGCAGGATTAATATATTTTAATAGGCCGGTTGCTGCTAATTAATTTAAAAAGTCGTTGGCCCCGTCAAAATCATAAACGAAATCCAGAATTGAATACCTCAATTGAATGAAAAAGCTTTAAAATTAGAAAACATAGTGAATTAAAAGAATTGGATGAGAGAGCCCTAGAAAGTGTTGACCTAGTCAAAATCAGTTGACTCAATCCTAAATTGAATACTGTGAGGCCTGAAAAATTAGGAAATATAATGTATAGTACTTCCTCCATTCCAAATTACTCGTCGCAGAAATGGATGTATCTAGAACTAAAATACATCTAAATACATTCAAACTTGCGACAAGTAATTCAGAACGGAGGGAGTATAAAATAATTGAATGACTTAGCGTTGAGAAATTGTTGACCTTGTCAAAATTGAATGCCCTAATTTTAATTGAAGATCTCAATTAAATATGGGCTCTTTAATTAAATTAAGGAGCTGGATTCCATACTTTTTTTTAAGATCAACTTGACTCGTACGACTAGTTTAAACTTTCTGGGACGGCCGGGTGATAGGTACTATGCACCGAAGATAAGCATAGACATCCAGGAGTCCCTCTCGGGCCACGGTATAGAGTACGGGCAGAGGAGCGATATGGACCCGGCCGGCGCGGGGAAGGCGACGGCGGCGGCGGCGGCTGTGTGCGTGACGGGCGCGGGAGGCTTCATCGCCTCGTGGCTCGTGGAGCGCCTCCTCGCCGGAGGAGACTACGCGGTGCATGGCACCGTTCATGATCCTGGTAAGATTTTCTTTTCTTGAGATGGTCCCTTGTAAGTTTTTGCGCTCATGTCAGTAAGATGCGGATTTGTCCGTACGTTCAGGCAACCCCAAGAATGACCACCTGAGGACGCTGGACGGCGCCGGCGAGCGGCTGCGGCTGTTCAACGTCGACGTGCTGGACTACGCGAGTGTGGCGTCCGCCGTGGCCGGCTGTGCCGGCGTCTTCCACGTCGCCAGCCCATGCCCCGCCACCAAATCCATGAACCCCGAGGTAACACCCCAACTGTCAAATCTGTAACACACCAGGGCTGGCTACTGTGCCTGTATTTACTACTCCCTCCATTCCTAAATACTCCCTCCGTAAACTAATATAAGAATGTTTAGATTACTATTCTAATAATATAAATGCTCTTATATTAGTTTACAGAAGGAGTACTTGTCTTTCTAGGCATTTCTACAAGTGACTATATACGGAGCAAAATGAATGATTCTACACTCTAAAATATGTCCACATACATCCATATGTAGTAATCATTTAAAATGTTTAGAAAGACAAATATTTAAAAATAGAGGAAGTACACGCTAGTACTCTGTAGGAAATTTGGGAAATTTTACGGTAGTAATTGGTTGCACTTGCACGGCGCAGGTGGAGCTGCTTGCCCCGGCGGTGGCCGGCACGCTGAACGTGCTCCGGGCCTGCCGTGAGGCCGGCGTCCGCCGCGTCGTGGTGGTGTCGTCGGTCGGCGCGATCTTCATCAACCCCAACCCCCCCGAGGGCCCCACCATGGACGAACACTGCTGGTCGGACGAGGAGTACTGCAGAGCCACCGAGGTGAATTACCATCGTCTCTAGACTTAGTCACTCAACTTAACCCGCGAGATCATCATCTTACATTCTTGCTTGATGGTTTCTTAGAGTTGGTACTGCCTCTCCAAGACGCTGGCCGAACGCGAGGCCTGGGCTTACGCAGAGAAGACCGGGCTAGACGTGGTGACCGTGTGCCCACCGCTGGTGTTCGGGCCTCTGCTGCAGCCCACGGTGAACACCAGCAGCTTGTTCCTCATCAGATACCTGAAATGTAGGCTACATCTCGTGCCCTTTCACATTCAGATAAATAAATACACACTGCAATTATAAGCTGCTGCGTTTGAATTGATTTTGATATAGAGAAAATTCCTTATTTGACACTGTTTTAAAATCTGGTTTCTTATTTGACATTGGAAAAGGTTTTCTTCCCTATTTGACACTAGTATGACGCTTTCGTCCATTTTGAGACTAATGACATCTGAAAAGACAATTTTGCCCCTCATGCGGTATTTTGTGCGCGCGTGTGTGTGCTGTTGCGTGTGTGGGTGCACGCGCACATGTGTGCTGCTGCTGCATGTGTGTGTGCACATGTGTTGCTGCGTGTGTACGTGCGCGCGCGTGTGTGTGCTGTTGCGTGACTATGTGCTGCATGCGTGTGTGCTGCTGCTGCTGCTGCGTGTGTGTTGCTGCGTGTGTGTGTGCGTGTGCATGTGTGTTGCCGCGTGTGTGTGTGTGCGCGCACGCACGCCTACGTGTTGTTGCGTGTGTGTGCGCGTGCGTGTGTTTTGGTGCATGTGTATGTGTTGCTGCGTGTGTGCTCCTGCCCTCACACTGATGCTGCGTGTGTGCGCTATTGCCTCCCACACACATACCAGATGAGGGGCAAAAAAGTCTTTTCAGATGCCATTTAGGCTTAAAATGGACGAAAATGTCATATAGGGAATAAAATTTTAAACTTATATCAATTAAAAAAGAAAAACTTTTTCAGTGTCAAGTAAAGAAGCAGATTTTAAGATAGTATCAAATAAGGAATTTTCTTTTTAATATATCTGCAGGCGACGGCGTGGACGCCATGGACGACAGGGTGAGGAACATGGTGGACGTCAGGGACGTCGCCGACGCCCTTGTGCTAGCGTACGAGAGCCCAGAGGCGGCCGGCCGCTACATCTGCAGCGCGCACGCCAGGAAGGTGTCTGAAATGGTTTCCATCGTCAGGAGCCTGCATCCCAACCTGAACTGCGCAAACAGGTAAGACGCCATCACTTAATCTGTACTACGTACATCGATGCATGCACAGTGTAAGTGGTGTAAACTGTCGGGGTTCTGACGACGGTGTAAATGAGTTGGCAGGTTCGTTCGGCTGGTGGGAGATGAGAAGGTGTTCAGCACAGAGAAGCTGCAGAGGCTGGGGTGGAAGTTCAGGACGCTGGAGGAGACGCTCAAGGACAGCGTCGAGTCCTACATGTCTGCAGGCATACTCAACTGAGTATGCCCCAAGGTTGCGCGCGGAGCGTAGCAAGGTGGGCATTTTGTTTCCTAAAGAGCACTGCAGATGTGGCGCTAGTTTCAGTTCAAGGACAGCACGGTAGCTAATGCAATGATCAAACGGTAGTGTGAAATTGTATTGATCAAACTAGTGTAACAAATACCACAATTTCTATATGTAAGTTGACTGAATTTGTAATTTATGTAAGTCGGTTTTATGGGAAAAGGAGCTGTTGAAGGAGGAAGAAAGTTGCAGGAAGAAAAGAAAAAGAATGGTCATTGAATCTTAATCTAATAACGCAAAAGATTGACTTATCCAAAAACAATTGTCAGACAACTTACGTATACCCGGTCCCAAAAATATCAATGTTTCATAAGCCGTTCTCAATGCAGATATGATACGCAAGATACAAAGTTACATGACCATTTGTATCTTTTTGGTAAATGATGTTTCCTATTGACTCGCAATGTTTTTGAGGAAGCACGGGAGAGCTACGTTTGCATTATGAGAAGGAACAGCGGCACAGCGCTAACTGTACAGGCGGTGGCAAAGGCCCGTAGCAGCCACGTAAAAATTGCAACAACAAAGTAGAGGACGTCTAACTTGTTTTTGCAGAGCATGTTGTGATGTGATATGGTCAAGACATGATGCTAAATTTTGTTGTATGAGATGATCATGTTTTGTAACACAATTATCGGCAACTGGCGGGAGCCATATGGTTGTCTCTTTATTGTATGAAATGCAATCACCATGTAATTGCTTTACTTTATCACTAAGCGGTAGCGATAGTCATAGAAGCAATAGTTGGTGAGACTACAATGATGCTTCGAAGGAGATCAAGGTGTCAAGCCGGTGACGATGGTGATCATGACGGTACTTTGGAGATGGAGATCAAAGGCACAAGATGATGATGGCCATATCATCTCACATATTTTGATTACATGTGATGTTTATCTTTTATGCATCTTATTTTGCTCAATACGACGGTAGCTTTATAAGATGGTCCCTTACTAAAATTTCAAGGTATAAGTGTTCTCCCTAAGTATGGACCGTTGCGACAGTTCTTCATGCTGAGACACCATGTGATGATCAGGTGTGATAAGCTCTACGTCCACATACAACGGGTGCAACTAGTTTTGCACATGCAGAATACTCGGATTAAACTTGATGCGCCTAGCATATGCAGATATGGCCTCGGAACACTGAGACCGAAAGATCGAACGTGAATCATATAGTAGATATGATCAACATAGAGATGTTCACCATTGAAAACTACTCCATCTCACGTGATAATTGGACATGGTTTAGTTGATATGGATCACGTGATCACTTAGATGATTAGAGGGATGTCTATCTAAGTGGGAGTTCTTAAGTAATATGGTTAATTGAACTTAATTTATCATGAACTTAGTCCTGATAGTATTTGCATATCTATGTTGTAGATCAATAGCTTGCGATTTAACTCCCCATTTATTTTTTGGTATGTTCTTAGAGAAAAATAAGTTGAAAGATGATAGTAGCAATGATGCGGACTGGGTCCGCGATCTGAGGATTATCCTCATTTCTGCACAGAAGAATTATGTCCTTGATGCACCGCTAGGTGACAGATCTATTGTAGGAGCAGATACAGACGTTATGAAACATTTGGTAAAGCTCGATATGATGACTACTTGATAGTTTAGTGCACCATGCTTTACGGCTTAGAACCGGGACTTCAAAAACATTTTGAACACCACAGAGAATATAAGATGTTCTAAGAGTTGAAATTGGTATTTCATACTCATGCCCGTGTCGAGAGGTAGAAGACCTCTGATAGTACTTTGCCTACAAGATGGAGGAGAATAACTCAACTAGTGAGCATGTGCTCAGATTGTATGGGTACTACAATTGCTTGAATCAAGTGGGAGTTAATCTTCCAGATAAGATAGCAATTGACAAAGTTCTCTAGTCACTATCACCAAGTTACTAGAACTTAGTGATGAACTATAATATGCAAGGGATAACGAAAGTAATTCCCAAGCTCTTCACGATGCTGAAATCGGCGAAGGTAGAAATCAAGAAATAGCATCAAGTGTTGATGGTTAACAAGACCACTAGTTTCAAGAAAAAGGGCAAATGGAAAGAAAGAGGAACTTCAAAGAAGAATAGCAAGCAAGTTGCTGCTCCCATGAAGAAGCTCAAAGCTAGACCCAAGCCTGGAACTGAGTGCTTCTACTGCAAAGGAAATGGTCACTTGAAGTGGAACTGCCCTAGATACTTGGCGGATAAGAAGGATGGCAAAGTGAACGAAAGTATATATTTGATATACATGTTATTGATGTGTACTTTACTAGTGTTTATAAAAACACCTTAGTATTTGATACTGGTTCAGTTACTAAGAGTAGTAACTCGAAACAGGAGTTGCAAAATAAACAGAGACTAGTTAAGGGCGAGGTGATGATGTGAGTTGGAAGTGATTCCAAGGTTGATAAGATCACCATCGCACACTCCCTTTACCTTCTGGATTAGTGTTGAACCTAAAATAAATGTTATTTGGTGTTTGCGTAGAGCATAATATGATTGGATCATGTTTATTGCAATACTGTAATTCATTTAAGTCAAGGATAATTGTTATTCTCTTTACATGAATAAAACCTTATGGGGTCATACACCCAAGGTGAATGGTTTATTGAATCTCGATCATAGTAATACACATATTCATAATACTGAAGCCAAAAGATGCAAAGTTAATAATTATAGTGCAACTTATATGTGGCACTGCCGTTTAGGTCATATTGGTGTAAAGCACATGAAGAAACTCCATGCTGATGGGCTTTTTGGAATCACTTGATTATGAATCATTTGATGCTTGCGAACCATGCCTCGTGGGCAAGATGACTAAAACTCCGTTCTCCGAAACAATGGAGCAAGCAACTGACTTATTGGAAATAATACATACTGATGTATGCAATCCGATGAGTGTAGAGGCTCGTGGAGGGTATCGTTATTTTCTGATCTTCACAGATGATTTGATAGGATATGGGTATCTCTACTTGATGAAACATATGTCTGGAACATTTGAAAAGTTCAAATAATTTCAGATTGAAGTGGAAAATCATCGTAACAAGAAAATAAAGTTTCTATGATCTGATTGTGGAGGGGAATATTTGAGTTACGAGTTTGGTCTTCATTTGAAACAATGCGGAATAGTTTCGCAACTCACGCCACCTGGAACACCACAGCGTAATGGTGTGTCCGAACATCATAATCATACTTTATTAAATATGTGCACTCTATGATGTCTCTTACTGATTTATCACTATTGTTTTGGGGTTATGCATTAGAGACAACTGCATTCACGTTAAATAGGGCACCATCTAAATCCATTAAGATGACACCATATGAACTGTGGTTTAGCAAGAAACCTAAGCCGCCATTTCTTAAAGTTTGGGGCTATGATGCTTATGTGAAAAAGTTTCAACCTGATAAGCTCGAACCCAAATCAGAGAAATGCATCTTCATAGGATACCCAAAGGAAACTATTGGGTACACCTTCTATCATAGATCCGAAGGCAAGATATTCGTTTTGAATGGATCCTTTCTAGAAAAGAAGTTTCTCTCGAAAGAAGTGATTGTGAGGAATGTAAAACTTGATGAAGTAATTGTACCTTCTCCCGAATTGGAAAGTAGTACATCATAGAAATCAGTTCTAGTGATTCCTACACCAATTAGTGAGGAAGTTAATGATGATGATCATGAAACTTCAGATCAAGTTACTACGGAACCTCGTAGGTCAACTAGAATACGTTCCGCACCAGAGTGGTATGGTAATCCTATTCTGGAGGTCATGTTACTTGACCCTGACGAACCTACGAACTATGAGGAAGTGATATTGAGCCCAGATTCCGCGAAATGGCTTGAAGCCATGAAATCTGAGATGAGATCCATGTATTAGAACAAAGTATGGACTTTGATTGACTTGCCCGTTGATAAGTGAGCCATTAAGAATAAATGGATTTTCAAGAGGAAGACGGACACTAATAGTAGTGTTACTATCTACAAAGCTCGAATTATCGCAAAAGGTTTTCGATAAGTTCAAGATGTTGACTACGATGAGATTTTCTCACTCGTAGCGATGCTTAAGTCTGTCCGAATCATGTTAGCAATTGCCACATTTTATGAAATCTGGCAAATGGATGTCAAAACTGCATTCCTTAATGGATTTCTTAAAGAAGAGTTGTATATGGTGCAACAAGAAGGTTTTGTCAATCCTAAAGGTGCTAACAAAGTGTGCAAGCTCCAGCGATCCATCTATGGACTGGTGCAAGCATCTCGGAGTTGGAATATATACTTTGATAAAGTGATCAAAGCATATGGTTTTATACAGACTTGCGGTGAAGCCTGTATTTACAAGAAAGTGAGTGGGAGCACTACAACATTTATGATAAGTATATGTGAATAAAGTATTGTTGATCGGAAATAATGTAGAATTTTCTCGAAAGCATAAAGGAGTGTTTGAAAAGAGTTTTTCAAAGAAAGACCTCGATGAAACTACTTACATATTGAGCACCAAGATCTATAGAGATAGATCAAGACACTTGATATATTTTCAATGAGTACATACATTAACAAGATTTTGAAGTAGTTCAAAATGGAAAAGTCAAAGAAGGAGTTCTTGCCTGTGTTGCAAGGTGTGAAGTTGAGTAAAGACTCAAAACCTGACCACGGAAGAAAATAGAAAGAGAATGAAATGTCATTCCCTATGCCTCAATCATAGGTTCTATAAAGTATGCTATGTTGTGTACCAGACCTATTGTGTACCTCACCATAAGTTTGGCAAGAGGGTACAATAGTGATCCAAGAGTGGATCACTGGACATCGGTCAAAAATATCCTTAGTGGAATAAGGAAATGTTTCTCGATTATGGAGGTGACAAAGAGTTCGTCGTAAAAAGTTATGTCGATGCAAGCTTTGACACCGATCTGGATGACTCTAAGTCTCGATCTAGATACATATCGAAA